TTCTGTGGAGGGCCTTAGGTTGTAGGGAGTTTGATTTTTATACCCTTCCTCCTCCTATGGGTTGGATTTAAGTGCAGATCCCACCTGGGTTTGCCTTCAGCTACCCATGTGGCATCATTTTGGAGGTTTCCTTCCTCATTGGTTTCCCCATTTAGAGGGGTCATATGGGCTTTTCACATACCTACATTCACCCAGTTATCTAACCATTGAACCCGGCCTCTTTTGAACTCAGGTTTAGCCCGTTCCCCCCTCCCCCATTGGGTGCATTGTGGGGTTCCAGTCTTTTCTTGGCTAGTGGACGATCCTCTGTTTTCTCTCAAATCCCGGCATGTATTTGCCAGACCCGCTTGCTTAAGTGGCACAAGATTGCAAGTGTTTTCAGTTTTTTGGGGGCCCTCTCTTTTGAGCCCCCTTCATACTTTCTTGTTTGTCCTGCTCGTCCTTGGGTTTTTAGAGCCCTTCAACTTCTTGCACGGGTTCCTTCCCTGCCATCGTCAGTTTTGGCAGATTGTTGGCGTGCCCATCAGAAATTGGGCTGTGTCATGGATTTCCTATGTCTCAGGCAGAAAATGCACCAGGTAGGCAAGCACCTACCTGGTGCCTGCTCATTGGCCCCAGTGGCTCCTTGACACCCTCCCTCTTCCCAGGGAGTTAGGCCTTTGCATCATTCATTGTCCTGATGGTGATGCAGCCTGTGAGCCATAGCCTGTCTTCCCCTTTCCCCAAACGAAGGAGAGAGTGGGTCGAACGAGTGGTCACTGGTCGCATTTTGTTTATATAGTTTGGAGAGGTATAAGGCTGTTTTCGAGTCTGCAGGTATCAAATGCAGCCAGCTATAGGTTGTTTTGTTTCCATGACTGTTGTGTGCTTCCCTTGGCAGTGGTAAAAAATTAATAACTTGATATATAAATGCCACAGCTCCTTGTGCCTGTGAGGGGGGACCAGATTCTGGCTCCCCAGTAAGCCAGAGAATTCCACTACTGATGGCACCCACATTGAAGATGGTAGCTTCAGGGAGCTACCAGGGTTCACCCAAAAATTGGCTTTTCATTACATTCAACACTGGTTTTATTTATGATTTCATTGAAAAATATCTAGGTTTTTTTTACAAAAATGAAGATGCCTGTTAATCTGATAAATATGCTATACATGTTTATGCATACAGTATATAAACAGATATAGATAAATAAATAATCTGTATTATTTATTTATATAGTATTGTAGACCTGGCCAGGATTCGAATCCATGACATCCAGGATCACCCCTAAACATACACAGTACCATGACCACCGTATCACCGATTGTCACGGTACTGTGTACTCGCCTAGTTGTGCTTGCGGGGGTTGAGATTTGGCTCTTTGGTCCCATCTCTCAACTGTCAATCAACTGGTGTGTGGTGTATGTGTTTAGGGGTGATCCTGGAGGTCATGGGTTCAAATCTTGAATGAAGCATTATGCACGCCAAGGTGCATAGTGCTCCTGGCTGTCTGGGTTCGAATCCTTCTGGGATATGGAGTTTTCGGTTGCATATTGGCTTGGGAACCGTTCAAGCTTGTTCGCATATTTATATATATAATATAATATAATATATAATATAATATAATATATAATATACAGTAATATAATATATAATATAATATATAATATGGGGGGGGGGACCACCATTGGTGCAATTGTAGGGACCCACAGCCTCAAAGAAGGGAACACAGAGCATTCAGAGAAAAACTTGCCATTTAACTCTGAATACGTATGAATGTTCACTTCTCCTACTACCCCCCATTTTTTTTAATGTTGTAAACTTTATTATACAAGGTTATATATATGTTGTGCCTAGTAGCCAGAGCGTCGTACTCGGCCTGCTATGCAAGGCCCGATTTGCCTAATAAGCCAAGATTATTATTATTATTATATATATTATATATATATATATATATATATATATATATATATATATATATATATATATATATATTATATATATATATATATATATATAATATAGGGGGGTACCACCTCTGGTGCAATTATAGGGACCCACAGCCTCAAAGAAGGGAACATAGAGCATTCAGAGAAAAACTTGCCATTTAACTCTGAATACATATGAGTGTTCGTTAGAGTGCTACCACCGCCTTTTTTATGGTGTACACTTTATTATGCAAGGTTATACAGTTACGTACTGATTTTATACAAAAAATGAGCATTGAGAGGACACAAGAAAAAGTTCGCTTTCTAGAGACTGTAGATTTCCTGGAACTCCTCCGACGCCGGACAGGAACCGAGGACGCAGCGGGCATTTCCCCTCTGGATCGCGACACTGAGGCGCTGAAAGAGAAAACTTGCTGCTCTAAGGTATCTTGTAGTGTCAATGAACTTGGAATCAAGATCCTTTTGAAACCTTCTTGCATTCTCTCCCCATGGGCCTAGGGTCTCAGACCCTATTGGAACAAAGTGTTACCGGTGATCTAATTCCCTGTACTTGGCTGACTTGAGTCTTTCTCTGTGTGTCGCCGCGGCTCCTGCTTGGCCGGCAGAGAAGATGATATATGTGGTTGCCAGGGTGGATACGCAAGTATAGTCTCATGCCAACTGCCTGCCACCCTTCCAAGGGCGCAGTGTGATTCCGTCTGGTCGGCCGACAAATCTAACAGTCACGGTTCAATAGGTTGAGGGGCTCTCTCTCCGCTGGACACTGAGCAGAGGTAAGGCTTCTTTCAATGATGTTATTGACTTCGTCGTGTCTAGTGTGCCAACCACCAGATTTTCCACAGTGCAGGCCATGCAATCCATATTCGTCAGCATCTGCCTCACCGCAAATATACCTATGAACAGTGTGGATAGGGGAAGCAAGACGGAGAGTGACTGCAATACGGAGCTTCTGCGGATCAAGACATGTGCCTGTCGCAGACATGGGGACTGCCAGAAGGAAGTCCCCTGCATGGGGAGCTTGCACAGCTGTGAGGCGTGCACGATCACTGGGGGTTGTTTGCTGGTGTCACATTCCGTGTAGTGGGGGTCCTGTATCCCCGCTACATCACTCAGGGTGTCAGGTAGAATTTCCTTAACCAGGTCATCTGATGCTGAGGAGGAAGACAGGAAGGCTGGGACTGCAATTTGGGTGGCGGTGCGGACACCCAAGCCACCGAGCCTGACAGGAAGAGTGGCTTGTTTCCACTGGCATTCGTTGAGAGAGAGGTTAACAACTTTTTCCAGCATGGTCTTCAGTAGGAGGTCATACTCGTCAAGCTTTGGGTTGTTGTAAGATGGGGCGCACCTCAGAAAGTAGGTTAGCCTCGGAAGGGATAGGCATTTGGTGAGGAGATAAAAAGCATCGTGGGCATCGATGTCACCTATTCTGTCTTCCATCCTCCTAAGGTCTGCGATTTTCTTGTCGAGGATCTCCTCAATGGCGTTAGACCCGAGGGGAGCTCCAAGGAGGGTGCTGTTCTCGGCCCTAATGACATGGGCTCCAGGCAAGGCAGACCTTATTCTAGCTACGATGTCTGGGTTGGAGGAGACTACTTCACACTTGGAAGGGTTCAGGACGAGACCCAGGCTTACTTCTTGCTCCCTTATTTTCCTGATATCTGACAAGAGGTGGTCTACGGTGCCAGCTATAGTGCCATCATCCAAAAACCAGATGTTGAACTCGCTGGTTCATATATATAATATATATATCTATATATATATATATATATATATATATATATATATATATATATATATATATATATATATATATATATATATATATATATATATATATATATATATATATATATATATATATATATATATATATATATATATATATATATATATATATATATATATATATATATATATATATATATATATATATATATATATATATATATATATATATATATATATATATATATATATATATATATATATATATATATATATATATATATATATATATATATATATATATATATATATATATATATATATATATATATATATATATATATATATATATATATATATATATATATATATATATATATATATATATATATATATATATATATATATATATATATATATATATATATATATATATAATATATATATATATATATATATATATATATATATATATATATATATATATATATATATATATATATATATATATATATATATATATATATATATATATATATATATATATATATATATATATATATATATATATATATATATATATATATATATATATATATATATATATATATATATATATATATATATATATATATATATATATAATATATATATCTATATATATATATATATATATATATATATATATATATATATATATATATATCTATATATCTATCTCACACACACACACACTCACATTTATACTGTACATTCATATTTACATATATTTAGTACATGCATATATTATTGAATGTGACTGCAAGAGTAAGATCAATGATTCTAGTGCAAATCTCTTCAATTTTCCTTACATTTCTATTTGCATGAGAAGAAAGTTGAAAAATTGTCTCTTTTTAAAGTTCATTTTTAGTTTTATTTGGCCTTACAAAATTTCTTCCTGTATGATATGTGCCCAAGAATGAGGTGAAGGTAAGTCACCTCACTTGTAGGTCCATTGTATCTCGTCAGTCTCCTGCTTGCATGATGAATCTTGTCAGTCTCTCCATCATGCAAATAGGAGATTGACAAGATAAAATGGACCTATATGTGAGGAGATCTTCACCTCATCCTCTGGTGCATATCATGCAGCAAGACATTTTTTAAGGCCAAATAAAACTGAAGAAATATACTTTGAAGAGTTAATTTTTCAACTTCCTTCTGACGTGAATACAAATGTAAGGAAAATAGAGAAGATTTGTGCTAGGATCAGTGATCTCACTCTTTCGGTCACATTCAGTAATACTGTATATGCATACAATTAAGATTGCTACTAAAATATACTAATATATATTTGTATATATTATTTTCAGGTGAACATTTCAGTGCCAGTCATTGCTCAAAGCAACATTGGAGTAAAAAATACTCAACCCACAAACTCTCGTGATGGAGCAAGGCTGTCGGTATCGCTGGCATCGCTGTCACGATCTCACGTCACAGTAGATCAGTGGCTGGCGGGTATAGAAGAGAGTGGTAACGTGACTCCTGATGTCTTACGTAAAACCTCTATTAGGAAAAAGTTGCTTCATCCACCAGTAATGGAAGCTGGAAAATCTTACCAATCATCTGATGGTGATAAGCTCCAACTAGAGACAGGCTTAGCAGTCCCTCATATAACTGACCATAAATCTAAGGACACAAATCTTCAGATTCCCACAGATCCTCAATTTATAAGTGTGCCTAAAGATTCATGCTGTGAATACACTCCCCCATGCGAGCCACAGTTCTCAGAATATACCATGCAGGTTTTAATGATGAAACCCATTTTAGGCAAAAAGGAAGAGAGTAAAAATGATATTGCAGAAGATACTGTAAGTGCTGCAGAATTAAAAATTGCATGCTCGGTTACTCCAGAAGAACCTGGTCTCTCATTATTTAGTTCTGTTAAACCTCAGTTAACTGTTGCATCAAATGAGATTTCTACTCCAGAAGAGCCAATTTTGCCCTTCCAAGATTACCAAGCATCTAAGAGAGTTGTCAATACTCCTGAGGAGCCAGTTCTTCCCAACCATCAGCAAAGACACTTACATAGTCAAAGAGAGATGATGTTTGAGGAATCTGCAGCGACAATTCACAAAGAAAAGCCTGTAGAGCAAGATGTGGACAAACTAAAAGGTGTTCAAAAATACCACAGAGAATTCCCTTGCTCGCCAGAATTATCAGAAATAACTCGCTCTATTCTATCTTTAACTCTTCAGCCTCAAAAGGATCTTTATAATACAAAGAGTTGCCACGAACAGCTCAGAAACCAGCCAATATCCTCGTCAAGTAATAGCAAAAATATTGAACATGGCCCTTTGGAGAGAAGCATTTCTGATAATGCCTACGAAAGAAAACTTTTGTCACGTCACTCGCAGGATGTAACACATCCAAGTGAATTGGATCAGACTAGTAAAATGAGATGGCATCATCTGGGAGTATCAATGGAGCATTTTCTGAATAATGATAAACTTCCTCTTTCTCCTCAGCTCTCTGACATCACACAAAAAATTATTGGCCAAATAAAGAAATGATGCCTAAATGCTATAAATACAATACATTTGAGATTTTATTTTCATTTTTTGTTAATTTAATTTGTACTTAGTATTACTTTACTTTTTATCAATTTCTAAAGCATCAATTCTCACTCGCATAGATACCTTGACTGTGTCATTCAAGATTTAAATAATTAAAATTGAGCATGATGTTTAATAGGAGGCCTTAGGGAACGTAGGAATGTGAACATGCATAAGATTATGTAGGTTTATTTCAGATTGTTTTGGGCTCTTCAGCAGAGTAAAGTGCCTAAAACATCAGAGGATGGTGCACACTCAAGAGATACTACAAGGAAAGAGGTGGTTAGATCGACTGTATGTCTGAACCTAAAAAAAAAGGATTTTGATAGTCCCACACAAGAGGCTGTCCTGGAAACTGGAACATGCTGGACAGGGAGATTTCTGACATGGATCAAAATTTTCTAGTTGACAATTAAAATGAGGGCAATAATAAAGAGAGAATATATCTGACTGGAGGAATATGTCAGGTGTACTTTCACCAGCATGGCAACGTCTTCACCTTTCTTAATTTTTCTGTCGTGTCTGCAATTGAGTACTGTAGTCCCCTCTGAAATACGACCTACCTTGCCTGTCATCTGGCAGAGTGGTGATAGAAGCAGAAGTCACCTTTGAAAACCTGGAAACATGCAAGAGCCACCTCACCAAGGCAGTGCTTGAGAGGAGGGTTTCAGAAACAAAACAGTATTCTGCATTTAATACTTTCATAAGGATTTCTAGAAAATTATATTATTTAAATATGATTATATAAACTGTATACAGCATAAAGTTAAGCTGTGACTGCAGGACCAGGACATAATGAGTAAAACTACAAGTAAACAAATAATTTATTAAATTATATTTATAAGAAACTGTACTTGTAAAAAACCTGAAATATAACATTTCAAATAAACTATGGATTTTATTACTATATTTACAAATAATCATTGATTAGACTAATTCCATTTAAATCTACAAATTTAAGTCAAAGCCCAATAGGTTAAATAAAAGCAAATTGTGTTGGTTCCTACTACATGCTGGCAAGAAAATGAAATAGGAAGAGCATTTGTTATACATTCTGCAGTCCCACAGTGGCATAGGACATTTTTGTTTATATTTGTTTTATTATTTTTAGGTTAGGCAAACTCTCCTTTAAAGCAAAAGTTACCATTGCTTTCCATGACAAAAAAACTCCATTTTAGTATCGGCAGGAAAAGAAGTTAGAAAACTGGAACCACACAATATTGGGAAAACTTATTGTGCCAGTCATATACCATATGAGATCATGGTCTATTCTTGTATAATACTGGCAACTTTAGCATGTTGTCAAGAAACTATTACAGTACCCTAATTTGTTTACACATGTGAGAATGACCTGAATTTGCTAAATACATACTAGTGAAAGACCACAGTAAGTAACACGACACTATAAGAAAACTACAATTTTTTTTTTATACCTTTTTCTTTGTACTTTTGCAACAGTGCATAATGTCACTGAATGATGATTACTCAATTAGTGCTTTTATAATCCTTCCAATAACCACATTTGAGGTAATTAGTTTTTATCACTTAATAAGAGCAACCCCTTGACTGTGCATTAAAAACGTAGCATAATTCCCACGATGCATTGTGTAGTTAAAATATTTTTGTATTTTCTTTATTTCAGAAATTAAATCCAATTTTTTAGAAATGGAAATCCTGCTAGAAATACAATACTGTAAAAATGTTTCCATAGTCACAACTAAAATTTATTAAATATTTTTATTAGAAACACGCATTCTATTGTAGAAAAAATATGGCTCAACTTGGTACAAGGATAAAATAGTTTTTATGCCTTAAGTCAGTAGAACTGGCTACTTCCCACGGAGATATTAACATGGACTCTGAAAGCAGCCAGTCAGACGAGGAGGGCGTGTTTCAAGAAGTTCTGACAAGGAATAAGAAGAAACGAAGAAGACAGGATGCAAGGCGTAGTGTGGACAGTAATACACTTAACGGAAACGATAAAAGAATGAAGAACGACGCCGAGACTGATGCAGACAAACGGACGGAACGATGTCAGGAAGGTGAGGATCAGCGGAGATGGAGGCTTCTCTTCCCTGCCTCATGCACGCTGGCCTATCATCAGAAGCTGCTGTGGACCGTCAAACTCGGAAGAGAACACCGCAAGTTCGAGCCCCTGCTGAAGGAAGGTGTAAACAGACCTTACTTAACGGTAGGTTCTATGGAGGCAGTGGAGTATCTTACCCAGCAAGGATACGATGGAATTCTTATGGAAATACCGGAGGGGAACGAGAAGCTGACGAAGGTAATTATCTATAAATACCCTCAGATTCTGGACCCCGAGTTTATACTCGACGACCAACGATTTGTGTGGGCCAAGCGTCACCTTATTAAAGGTGAAGCTAGGAGTCAGGTGGTGGCTCTAGTGAGAGGTGACGTACCCGAAAAAGTGTTCATCACCGGGGCTGGCTACAGGCATGTAGCAAAGTATGTGGAAGAGCCCATAATATGCCTGAAATGCTGCAGATGGGGGCATAAATCCTGGAGATGTCAAAATGATCCACGATGTCGTTTCTGCGGAAAGTCTCACCTCTCTACTGTGTGTAGAAACAGACTGAATCTGGGTGAGAAAATAGTTCCCAGATGCTGCAACTGTGGAGGTGTTCACAATGCGAGCTCGGCTGTGTGTAGCAAGAGGCCGAGTATGGCTGTTCTCCGGCCGGTGAATGTTACAGAGCAAGCAAGAGCTCTTACCCAGACACCGGGAGCACAGCAAAACAGTCTGCCCCAAACAGTGCCAGTGAACCGGACGAATGCGTGGGTAAAGGAGTCACCTTTACTTAGGCAGGCTCCAGCAACAAGCAGCCACGCCACCACTCAGGACTCCGGCAGTGACAGTGTAACGGTGAGTGAAGTGGCTACTGTGGCTCAGAGAGAGGGTCATAATAATATGGTCAAGGAAGTGTGGGCTGAACTTAAAAAAGTTGGTGAGTTCCTCCAAAATCTGGGGCAGAGAATCGAGTCCATCGAGGCTAAATTAAACGTTCAGGAGGTCAAGGAAAATCACAAAACGGTGAAGGATAGTCAGGATATAGTGGTTGAGGACAAAAATGAAATATTGAGTGATGAAATGAAGGAAAGTGAAGTGTGTGTGAATGATGGTAGTCGTAGTGAAAGGAAGAACCCTATAATTACACATAAAATGAAGGAATCATTTGGGCCAATAATGGACATCTCAGGGCTGAAAAAATCTCTTGAGAATCGCAATGTCGCTTTTACTGGTGAACTTGGGAGGAGGTGGGAGATGTTATACAAGGTATGGCTATCATTTAGTGAACTTATTGGGGATGACTTAGGCAATGAATTGATTAATAATGGATCACCCTAGACTGAAAGTGTTGTCATGGAATGTTAATGGTTTGAGAAACAGGGTTACAGATGTTCATTGTTATGTGATGGGAAATGATATTGATGTTGTAGCTCTCCAGGAGACAGGGGATAGGAATGAAGGATTATTGAAATTAAATGGCTATAAAGGGTTTCACCTCTTCGCCGCAAATAACATCAGAGGCACGTCGATTTATGTTAAGAACTCCATACCAGCAGAGTTAGTAGAACCGCCATCAAAAACGCAAGGTATAGAGAGTGTCTGTGTTAAATTATCATTAAGGGAAGGGGAATTTATTGTAGTTAATTTGTATGTATCCAGGAACTGCTTCGACGCTAACTATTTACCTGACTGCATTTATACTAATCCTTCACTGGTCATTGGGGACCTTAATGCTCGGCACACAAGCCTTGGGACAGTGGGTAGTATTAATACTAATGGGGTCAAGTGGTTACAGTTTCTACAAGATCATCCAGATACCTGTCTATTGGGAAACAATGAACCAACTCACATCAGGGGAGGACGGCTTGACTATGCCTGCGTTTTAAACTCTCAGGGGATTATGGGGGAGGCTCGGGTTGTTCGGGAACTACTTAGTGACCACTTTGCCTTGAACGTTGAATTACCACTGGGGAAAAAACAAGTCCACTTCCAAAGGAAAAGGCTAAATATTAAGAAAGATATGAAAAATTATTTTATTCAAAATATGGGAGATTGGTATCAACATTACACGCCGCTCTGCGTTGATAGTTTTTACGAGGACATGGTCGAGAACATAGAGAAATTAGTACAGAGGGAAAATAACGGGGGCAGGGGAAGCAAGACGCACGGACCTAAGAAATTTAAATATTCCAATGATCAGCAAGTCAAGGGATGGGAGAGAATGCTACGGGGTGCGCATAAAGCATGGTTAAAAAATGGAATGAGGGATGAAGAGAAAAATACAATGTTGGAAGTGGCTAGGGAATGCAGTCAGGTGAGGAAGGAGGCGCGGGACAGATACTGGCAAGACTTTGCTCAGGCCATTGGTAATACTAAGAACCTTAAAGACATATGGAGAGCAGTAAATAAAGTCAGGGGTTGTAAGACTAAATTCATTGCTCACTCAGATCCAGGGAAAGTTGCTAATGAGTTAGTAGATAAATGGGCAAGTGCTGCTGGTATGGAGTCCTTACCTGCAGACACGAGAGTCACCATTGAGTCATGGGAAAATATTAGAAATGGAGTAACTTTATGTGCCTTAAATACAAGATCTATAGCATGCACTGAGATAACCCACGATGAGCTACTGGATGCTATAAAAAGTGGCAGCTCCACTGCTCCGGGAAAAGATGGAGTAACGTATGACATACTTAATTATTTAGCCGGTATGAAACCTAATCCCTTACTTGATTTGTTTAATATGAGTTATAGAGAGGGAAAGTTACCAAGAAAATGGAAAGAGGCTGTCATCATTCCTATCCCTAAGTCAAACGGAGGCTACAGACCTGTCTCCTTAATATCCTGCTTTTGTAAAATGATGGAAAGGATTTTGTTAAATAGGCTACTCTACCTTGTAGGTGATAACATGTCCAATAATCTCTTTGGTTTTATCAAAGGCAAAAGTACTGCGGATTGTCTCTTAAAGTGTTTGTCTAATGTGGATGACAATTGTAGAGTTTTTGTTGATCTACAAGGAGCGTTTGATAAAGCCAATGGGGAAGTAATCTTATACGAATTAGCCAATCTGGGAATAACAGGGAGATTGCTACACTGGATAAGGGATTACCTGCAAGGCAGAAAAGGTCAGGTGTATTACCAGGGATACATGTCTGAGGAACGGAGGTTTCAGTTAGGTACCCCACAAGGGGGAGTATTAAGTCCCACCTTATTCAATGTATTAATGAACAGATTAGCATCAGAGATGTATCCTCCAGGGGTCACGACGATCATATATGCTGATGACATTCTTATACAAGGCACTTCTGGGAACAAAATTCAAGATGCTCTTCACATACTTGGTACAACCTGTCACAAGTTAGGCTTAGTTATAAATGCAGATAAAACCAAATACGAGTATAGGAAACGAAGAAATATAACACTTACTCTAAATGGTGTGGAACTGAGCCGTGTACAGAAGTACAAGTATCTGGGCATGTATGTTGGATACACATGTGAGAGTAAAAATGCTGAAATAAATCATATCAGCACCTTATGTAAAGCCCGTCTGCATCCTCTAAAAGCACTGGCTTTTTCTGGTAAAGGTGTTGGTGTACCTATCTTGCGGATGTTATACATAAGCACTGTTCGATCCCTGATAGACTACGCAGCACCCGTATTGTCTTACACAGGCCAAGGCAGAATTCAAAAAATAGAGCTGATACAGAACGAGGCTATGAGGATTATTCTTGGATGTCAAAGAAATGCAATGATTGAAATAATGAGAATGGAATTAAATTTACAGAGTGTGTGTGATAGAGTCCGTGACATTAACACTAGAGTATCTATTCGTTTCATGCGGAGAAAAGGAGGGGATAAGCTGT